GAGAGTCCGCACTTGCTACTGAAGTTGCACTTATGAGCACAATACTTCAATTTATTTTAAATTTTTGTTTGTCCTTTCTTCTTTATTTATTTATTTATTTTTGGAAAGTTAAAATCATGAAAGAATTGATCTAATTCAAAACTCTACTTAATCGGTAGACAGTTCGGGCGACAACAAAGAAGAATTTTTTTACGGATCAACTGTACCGTGAACAGTGCCGATGAATATTAATTATGAACTTTTTTGCAGATTTATTTTCTTTGATTGTTGTTGCCTCTTGACGTTTTTGTGTGTGAATCTGACCTGCTTTGAGAATTTTTTGGAAGATTTGGAGGTTGGTGGAGTAAATGTTTTGAACTTGAACGTGAAATTTGTTTGGTCAAAGGAAAATGACTTGCTCTAACACTAAATTGACATAGCATGCAATCAAAGATTCAAACAGTTATAGGAGAAAGGGAAAGGGGAGAGAAGAAGAGATAGGAGGGGAAAAGAGTAGGAGAGGAGTAAGATGGAAAGGGGGAAAAAATTAGACAGACTAAAGCAGAATTTAAGAAACAGAAAATAATATTTATTTCATTATCAAAGTTGTATGAATTACATTACATAAGCCCCTTTATGTATGGTTTAAACTAGTCCTAATTGAAGTAGGAATATATTATAATATCTATGAAATCAAACCCTAATTATGTTTCTTAAAATAAGCATAAAAATTGGAAAATAAATTAAATAATATCTATACTAATATTTCCATCACCAGTACCATACCAAACACACCCTAAATGTATGCAGAGGTCAAGGAGGATGGAAGAGCGAAATTATGGTCGGTGATGGTGAAGACGTGGTTGAAATTGGGTGAAAATTGGTGGGTTATAGGCTTGTCGATGTCAAAGCCATCTTTAGGAGCTATGCCATGGGGAAAAAAACGATTGCTGGTCAAGAAGAGTCTTCATTTCTAAATAAAGTTTTCCTTGAATTTTATGGAAATTGCAAAATAAAATGAGAAACCTTAAGGGTCCGTTTGATTGTAAAGATGGAATTTGGGTGGAAAGAAAATGAATTTTAGGGAATTGAATTGCCTAAAAATTGTTTTCCTAGGAATTGTAAATTATTGCGTTTGATTGGTATAATTTTCCACGTGGAAAATGTTGAAATAAAAGTGATTTTTGGTGTTCATTTGGCTTTATTTTACATGAAAATTGTCGATTAAAGGGATAAAATTTACTGGTATTGGAGATGAAATTTGTTTCCATTGCCAATAAAAAAAAAAGAAAATTCAAGAAGATCATTTATCTTTGGTATTCGTTTGACTTTGTTTTACATTGAAATTGTCAGTTAAAGGAAAATATTTTTTTACGGTAATTCTTAGAATTTGTTTCCATTGCCACAAAATAATAATAATAATAATAATAATAATAATAATAATAATAATAATAATAAAATCGGAAAAAATAAAAAAAAGTGCTACAGTAACTGAGAATTCCAATTCTCACCATTTTGGTGAGAATTGGAATTCCTTGAAAAGTAAGAAAAATCCTAGGTGATATAAAAAGCTAGAAAATGAATTCCATGGAAAAATAAAGCCATCAAACAAGCAAAAACATGGAATTGGTTTTTCATTTTCCATGGAAAATTTGGGTGTACCAAACACACCCTAAGTGCAAATACGTGATTCTGATTTCTATGATGAATTTATGAAGTAATTTTTGTTTTCTCTTTTGGTTTTTGAATCAGAAGATTTTGTTATTTACACGTGTTTGGGCTTGATTAAAATCCCAAAATGCATTTTCATTTCTTGCCAGTGTCTGTACATTTGAAAAATGCTGAAGAGTGGTTAGCTGGCTGCACACTGCATTTGTTGACTAATGAATCATGATGTGACAATTTATATGTATTGATTTACCATTTCATCCTTGCAGAAGTGATGAGAATGGTAGGGTTAAACAAGGGAGAGCATTTCTGGAATTATGGAAAAAGAGAGGGTAAAATTGCCTAACTTGGATTCAATGGCAGGAATGATATTTTCCAAATGTACTGAAGTTGAATAATTTTTAAACAATAAAAATACTGTAGAAAAATGTAATGTCCCATGAAATCTCATTTTAATGAGATTACATATTTTCTTACTGCTTAGCATGGTAAGTCTGGAACTTCTGAAAAAGAGACAGACATCAAGTTAAGCCGTCATGCATGCTTGCCAAACTTAGTTTGAATTAGGCACGGCTTAAGTTGAGTGTTCTCAAGCTTGAGTCGAGCTTGAGTTAGCTGGACTATAGGGACTTGGTAAAACCAATTAGCCTATTCTGCCTTTCTCCTACCCAAGCTCGATAGTGGTTAAACTGAATAGTTCATATTGTTATTAGGCATTATTTGTGATTTTTATATGTTTTTAATTTTTTAAGAGAAGCACCACGTTCAATTTGTTAAGCAGAAACTACATAAGCAACTAAAATGCATGTTATGATAAAAACTTGGCTAATAACACCTTCATTTTGTTTGTGGCATTTCAGGTATCCAGCAATTAATAAGCCAGCTGCAGTTCTTCATTGGCTCAATCATGCAAAAATAGATGCAGAGTATATAGTAATCCTGGATGCTGACATGATAATGAGAGGTCCGATTACACCATGGGAATTCAATGCATCCCTTGGAAGACCTGTTTCCACTCCCTATGAGTACGAAAAAAGAACTTTAAAGAGCATGTTTGGCTAAGCTTAAAAAGTTATGAGTAAATTAGTAACTTCTAAAATAAATTATTTTTTTAGTGGTCAAAGTTTGGAAATAAGTAAGTTGTCTTGCCGGTAAGGTAAGAATTACTTTCAATGTACATGACCTTTTTTTTACTTACAGGTAAGAAAAAGCTAAGTTATCCAAACGTGCACTTTATTCTCTCTTTCATTTCTTTATAAGAGTAGCCGAAACATAATTCACAGTGTGATGCATTTTCTTTTTAGCTGAATCAGGAATTATGTGTTCTAATCACTCTTTTTGTTATATATTAATTCCAGCTATTTGATTGGCTGTGACAATGAGCTTGCAAAAATGCACACCCGTCATCCGGATGCTTGCAACAAGGTTGGAGGTGTGATCATAATGCATATAAATGACCTCAGGAGATTTGCTCTGTTATGGTTGCATAAAACCGAGGAGGTCCGGGCTGACACGGCTCATTGGTCAAGAAACATAACCGGGGATGTGTATGAAGCTGGATGGATCAGCGAGATGTATGGTTACTCGTTTGGTGCAGCAGAGGTAATTTCAGAACTGATTAAAATGTTAAACCATTCCTATCTCATTTGAATTTGCAGAATAGCTTAGGTAATAGATTAATATAATTCCTCGTTGTGTTATAAGTTTTCGCTGCTTGACATCCTTTTCTATTCAATGTGCAGCATGTTGAAATATAATTTTTTCTAATTTTCCATGCAGTTGAATTTGCGACACATCATAAGCAATGAAATTTTGATATATCCGGGATATGTTCCTGCACCTGGTGTCAAGTATAGAGTATTCCACTATGGCTTGGAATTTAGGGTTGGAAACTGGAGCTTCGATAAAGCAAACTGGAGAAACTTTGACTTCGTTAACAAATGCTGGGCTAAGTTCCCCGACCCTCCTGATCCATCAACTCTTGACCATACCGAGGAGAATGCATTACAGCGTGATTTGTTCAGCATAGAATGTGGAAATACCCTTAACGAAGCTCTACGCCTACACCACGAGAAGAAGAAATGCCCGGATCCCACTTCTATCTCCTCTCCAATTCGAGAGAATCTGGATTCCATTTCCTTGTCTCCTCCAAATCAAGAAACAGCGCGTGAGGTTACTACTTCAAGGAAATTCGGAAAGATTGAGGAAATTAGCGCCTCAAGACACAGTCCTGATCTCAAGAACGAATCTCGGGAATCATCGCTGCCGGCTATGGCAAATGAAACGTTCACTGCCATGAGATTTTGGATTATTGGCCTATGGGCCTTTTCGATCTTTGTATTTGCCACAGTAATATCGGTGATGCTTTCTGGTCGCAAGGGGCAGAGAAAAAGAGGTAAAAGTTTTAAGACAAAGAGACGAGCCTCACATTCAGGATTCAGGGATTTGAATGGAAATGATAGTCATCTTCGAAGTGCTGAAATAGCTTAAAACAAAAGAGAAATCACACCTGGATTCCTGGGCTGGTATACATAAATTGCCCCAACGATGAAAACATTGTATAGAGGGAGTCAGTGTAGCATGCTCAAACATTGCATAGAGGGAGTCAGTGTAGCATGCTCAAACCGGAGTTGGTCGAGATTCTAATATCCGGTGTTTTAAGGCGTAAGGAATTTTTTGCTTTTTTGGATCTTGTGGTTGGTTCCTCTGAATACTGAACAGATTCTTGGCAGAGCATAATTTAGAATCCAAAATTACGGGATTCGGCATGCTAAGGCAGGTTAAGAACAATAAAGCGCTTGTTGAAAAATTCTTCATTGTTTACATTCAGAATCTGTAAAAAATTTCATTTGGATTCTATCTGTTACTCCTGTGTTGCAAGTTCATTAATTCCAGAATCTTTCTCTGCTTTCTCTATTCCAAAATGTAAACTTGAAATGTGCCAGGAAAACCGCAGAACAACCACTAATGAGAGAAGTCGGATGGTCAATTCTAGTCCAATATCATTGTAGCTTTTATACTTGGAGCAGTGACACCTTGTTTTACGGAGGAAGAGAGATCTACCGTTGCATCTCTTGAATTCTAGATGAACAAAACCCAATTGGAGTATCAGGGACGGAGCTAGGATAAAAGAGTCGTGAGGAAAAATTGAAATCTATTAGGAATTTTTTGAAAATTGTCCAAAATCTTGAAAAATCTTACATTAAGGTCTTGGAATTAAAATTTAGCGTGGAGGTAGCTGACTTCATTGCACTCACGGTAAATCCGCCCATGGAAGTATGATTTAGCTTTGTGTCAGGTCTTTCATAGAATTTTGGCACGAAAAGTCCATCCTTCTTCGAGACTATAAGAAATGCAACAGACAATCGAAAATTACTATACAGTATATTTTGTTTTTCCAAAATGCACATGAAAATCTAGTTAGTTTTAGAGGGATATCTTATTTGTAGAAATCAAGAGACTGCTCCTTAGCTAAAAACGACACATGAAGCATTGGAATTAAGCAGGTACGTTGTACAATTCAACTGTCATGCTACACTACAAGTCTACACTGACTCCAGTACATCTCTTCAAGCCCTTGCCTCCCGGGTCCAACGCTTCAAGATGTATCCACTAGGTACTATCTTTATATTACAGTAATCTAGCACTTTCAGCGCATGGCTACATAAAATTCCAACAAATTGAAACTTCATACAACTGCAGGCAACTGAATCGTCTTCTGAGCAATATATAACTGTATACTGTCGAAGCTGGCCATAAGTACTGACTTGATATTCAGAAGACGATGCAGTATCAGCACATTGGTTAATGACAAGATTTAAACAATTTTCATATTCTTGCTGAAACAATTCAAAAATGTTCGGTGTGTATACGTCCCTTGCCTGCTTCAGCATTACCACATCCCCCAGTAGTCTTGGCATGTGTTGACTCATATCGTAATTTGCTTCTAATTCCCTGAAACGCCAGTCGTTCACCATCCTCCCAAAGTGCTTGAAAAATTGAAGAACGTGTGATTCAGGCTTAAGGTATTTTTCCAAGGTAGTAATGGAATCTTCAGAGAGTCGAGAAGTTTCTATGTCAGCCGAGAATATATGCTTACCATATGGTAAAGCCCATTTCTCTCTTTCCTCAAATTTCTCATGCAACCACTTGTTTTCCCAAAGACCATACGCGTCCAACATAACCTTCCAGGAATTAACAAAATCTTCTTCCTCGTCCTGATTAAAAATACAACTGCACAAGTCGTTAACAAAAGAATCTGACCTGACTGTTACTTCCCTCAAATGCTCAAGAGCATTCTGGTATGAATGCCATACGCAGTACCGGCGGTTTGTTTCTGGAAGTTCAGATATGATTGCTTCAGAAATAGCAGCATCTTCATCAGAGAGTATTGTCTTTGGCTTTTTTCCCGTCATCGCTTTAGCGAAAGTTCGAAATAGCCACTTAAAAGATTCAGTAGTGTCATCATAGAGAAATGCAGCACCAAAGACCAGAATTTGTTTATGATTATTCAACCCCAAAAAAAGTGCTAAAGGCCGCCATTCTTTGTTTAGATAGTACGTTGTATCAAAGCAAACCACATCGCCAAAATCACTATAGTCTGTCATCATCTTCTCATCAGCCCAAAAAAAGTTGGTCAGTTGCTCTTCAGCATCGAGTTGTACAGCACAAAAAAATGTTGGATCCTTTAATTGCTTATTCTGAAAGTACTGATGAATACGTTCTGCTTCATCCAGCTTTATTCTTCTTGAACGTTTTGACGGGAGCCTAGTTTCAAGATCTATGGGATCATAACTGAAATTGCCTTGTGCTCCTCCTCCTCTTGATAACAACTCGGCAAGCGATGTTGGCTGTAAGTTAGAGCCCTCCAATGCACTGGATTCAACATCTTGATTTGTAGCAAACCTCTTCTGAGATCGCAACATGCGAACTTTACATGAAGGTACCAGCTCGTGATTGTGATGTTCTTCAAACTGAGTGACACGATACTTGCCATCAGCTTGACGAGAAACAACTAATTGTGCCATGCAACCAACTCTAGTTTCCTTTCGAGGTCGCTTCACCTTCAAACCCCTTTTGTCTTTCTGCCGAAAACCTTCTCTAAAACAAGTATATCTCCTAGATGCCACAGCACCATCTACTTTGCTCCTGTTGACATAATCCTTACGAACACTAAAACCTAGTCGCCCTGCATATGCATTGTAGAACTCGTAAGCATGATCTTCTGAGTCAAAACCCATACCCAACTTCGGTACCCCATTTGATGCAGAGTTACCAGCAGATTCTGCCTCAATGGCCTCGACGAAAGATATTCTCTTTTGGGATGGTAACAGATGAGCTGTGACTGATGTTGCAAACTCGTGATTGTGTTTCGTTTCGAAATGAATGACACGATATTTTCCATTAGGTTGACGTGTAATGGTCATATGTGCCAGACAACCAGTTCTTGTATCCTTTCGGGGTTTATTTGATTTCAAATCACGCTTAGCAGATCCATAGCCTTGCCTATAACATGTATACCTTCTTGATACCACCAACCCCGTAATATTACTTCTATTTACAAAGTCTTTCCGGATGCTGAATCCTTCCATGAGAGCATATCTATTATAACATTTGTAGGCATGGTCTTCTGATTCAAACTCCAAGCCAAGTTTTGGCACGAGATACACACAAGCTTCATCTTTTATACCTTGAACAGATTCTGAGGAGGTCGTGGATAAAGCCTCGGGAGTCTGAAACGCGTGCTTATCTTGAACATCGATTCTCGGCTGGTTCACAGAGCAGATATCAGGACTCTGATCTTTATGCCTGCTATCAACATCATCTTTTAATCCATTGTTGTCAATAGAGGAACCATTCAGGCTAGTGAACTCGTGTTCATCATCAGTATCAACTCCATTCTTGTCCATTGAAGCATTTAGGCAGCTATATGTACTCTCACTGTCTACGTCCATGGCATCACCACCAGCGGAGGAAACTTCTTGGCTCGGAGACATTTCTCCATTGTTGACAGTCAATTCAGTCTCAGGAGGAAAGGAAAGTTTATGAGTCTCACCTGTCTGTTTTACATTAGTATCTAATGCATAGGACCCAACACCTTTCTCTTCAATGCACTCTTCAGAAGGGTACCTCACTTCAGCATCCTCACCAGTTTCCATGTAACTTCATTCCAAGGAAAAAGATGGATAGGATTAAAGATTAAATCATTATAATGCACAGCATACAAATTACAGGAATAAACAGACATATAATTCCCCGAGCACTAACATGACAGCTAATATATTCTTGGCTTCTTAATTTGCAAACATCATTTCTTGTAATGAAGTAATCTCTAGCTAGAATTCAATACATATTCTAGTTTATTTCACCATTTTTCCGTAAAACAGATAACCACCCTTGGAAGCATTGCTCGTTTCAGAAGTAGTAGGCGCCATTTCATCAAAATACCGGCATCTACGAACCATTAATTACTCCAGTGAACCTGACCCCAAAAATGGAAAATTCTATTTGCCCAGATTCATATCACGCACACGCTAAAATCACTATTAAACTCAAATAAGTCAGCAAATTTCAAAACCCTAAAAAAAAAAAAATCGATAAGTAAACATCAGGGCATTAAGAAGCAAGTGAAAGTTCACAACCCAAATGTACGAAGGTTCACACAAAAATCACGTATAAGATACAGAAAAACTGCACTCAATGTTTTAAAACAAAAAATTCTATGCTTTTTCCTCAACTGAAATTCCCGGAAAAAAATTAAACTTATATTCTCTATTTCCTTAAATAGGGATACAACCTTCAAAATTTACATACAGAGAGAGGACGAAAGAACCTGAACCAAGGTTATCTGAACGACGTCGGATCTTTGCCGTCGGTGGAGTTCAGATTTATGCTTTTCTTCGGCAGTTTGCCGGCAAGCGGCTTCTCTACTGTCGCATTCGATCAAATCTTATCCAGTGAATTTTGATTTGATACGAGACTTTAATGTAGGGCTGTGGGTGCTGGCTGCTGGGCGTTGGGTTTTTTTTTTTTTTTTTTTTTTTTTTTTTTTTTTTTAAATCTATTGATATGTCTTCAAATTGAAATGAGACGATTCTGTTCGAGTTCTCTGTAGACAAAAAAAAAAAAAAAAATTTTTTTTTTGGATTGAGTTAAATCATTAACTAAATTAAATTAAAATCTACTAAAGTCCATAAACCCAAAAACCATATCACTTTTTAAATAAATAAATAAATAAACAAATAAAAAAAATCGTAATTACTTAACTATTCATTTTTAATTAAATATACTTAATTGATTATCAAATTTGGCACAAATTCTCTTCTATAAATAGGACCAATGGCCCATACGACAGGCAAGGAGAAAAAAGCAAGCAAGAAGAAAGATAATAGAGAACGCAATTACGAAGTGCTGAAAAAATTTCAAAGCCAGAAGAAGAAAAGAAATCCTCTCAAATCTAAATTCGGTAAACCTCAAGCACAAAATTTCTCCTATAAATAGGACCAATGGTCCATACGACAGGCAAGGAGAAAAAAGCAAGCAAGAAGAAAGATAACGGAGAACGCAATCACGAAGTGCTGAAAAAATTTCAAAGTCGAAAGAAGAAAAGAAATCATCTCAAATCTAAATTCGGTAAACCTCAAGAAGATTAAAATTTTTTCGAATAAAACAGGTTTACACCAAGTCTAAAAAGATCAAAATCTTTTTCAAATCAAATCAAATTCAAATTCAAGTCTGAGCCTTAAAATTCAATTTCCAAACAAGTCAAGAATCAACAAATCAAAATTTTCAACAAATTCTCGAAAACCAGTATTCAAGCCACGTGACCCCTTGTCTTCAAACGTTTAGATCATTAATCAGAGGATTTTTGCAATTTTGCAATTACAAAAAGATCAACACAATCTGTAACGATTTTTGTGCTTTAATATACGAAACTCATCGTACAAATTTCTTGGCACGCCAGGTGAGACATTCTTGTCCCCTCATCTTTTGATCTCAAAATCTTCAAATTTCAACCACTACATCAGTAATGACAGACGAAAACGCGAAACAAATTATGACTCATCTTGAAAAAACACTTGCCAAACTTTTCCATGCGACTAGAGCCCAAACAAAAACTAAGAAAACTCAACTGGTCCCACTACTAAAGAAATTCTCCAACAAAGGCAAAATGAAAATTGCATTGAAAAAGCCAAACTCTCATTCGATAGAAGAGACCATGAGTTCGGCGAAAAATTCTCATTTGAGCTCCATCTCCAAGCGAAAAATTCTCATTTGAGCTCCATCTCCAATGATAAATCCTTGTCTGGATCTCCTCATACCACTTTTCAGTAAATGTGGGAAGATAATACTTCATCTAAAGAATTACTTGAGCCAGTAATGGTCAAAGAAGCGTTATCGGGCTCAGATGACCGAATTCAACAAATGACTTTAGCTATTAAAATATCAACAAAGTCACTAGAAGACAAAGATGCACAGATTGTTGCACTCATGCACAGGCTAGAGGTGCAAAATCCACCTGTTAAAGAAGATCAAGAAAATTCAAGATCTTCCAAAGTCAAAGAGTTAGAAGTTCAAGAGCGCTAATAGAAGCAAGATATACATGATCGGACAGTTGTTCAAAACGTGGGCTGTTTGTTCGTCCAAAAACTTCAACATATGATTGCGCATACCATTCGTGCCCAGTATGGTGGTTCATTGCAATCTTTATTGATGTATGCCAAGCCCTATAGTTGTCGAATCGACGAAATGAAGATGCCACTCGGTTAACAACCTCCAAAATTTCAAGGTTTTGATGGAAAGGGCAACCCAAAGCAACATGTAGCTCATTTATCGAGATGTGTAACAATGCGGGCAATTACAATAACACCATGGTGAAGCAATTCTTAGCTCCCTCTAAGGTGCCATGTTTGAATGGTACAAGACTTACCAACTGGGTCAATCGATAGCTGGGATCAACTCGAGCAAGAATTCCTAACATGCTTCTACAGCACCCGATGAACTGTCAGCCTTCTAGAACTTGCTCGAACGAAGCAGAGTAAAGAAGAGCCTGTTGTAGAGTACATCGAATGCTGGAGGAACCTCGTTCGTAATTGCTAAGAATGAATAAGCGAAACATCTTCCATCGACATGTGTGTGTAAGGCGTGCATTGGATTACTCTAAAATCTCCAAGCAAATATGTCTCACTCATTCAAAGAATTGACGACACGTGCTCATAACCTAGAGCTCCAAATTGCAAGGCATTAGAGTTACATACCAAGTGATCCACGTGATAAAAAGGATCTTACGAAATAAATAAAGAAGGACGTCAAGGCAGGTAAATCCAAAGAAGCTATGATTATTTCTATTGTTCCTGCAAAGATAGCCTTCCAGAGGCCGAGCTCAAACCCAAAATCGAAGCCAGAGTTCGACCTAGCAAGGATAAGTCCAAAGCAAAATTCATGTTACTTTGAAAGAACTCGAAAGAAAGGAGTACCCATTTTCAGATTCTAAAGTTTCTGGAATTCTGGATCAGCTCCTTGAACAGAAGATAATTGAACTTCCAGTGCCAAAAAGACCCGAAGAAGCTGGTAAGGTCGATCATCCTAAATACTATAAATTTCACAAAATCATTAGCCACCCAGTGGAAAAATGTTTCGTCTTGAAAGATCTTATTGTTCGCCTGGTTAAAGAAAATAAGATCAAATTTGAAACATGAGAGAACCTAACAACCGTCTGGTAGATGGTTTCGTTTGGATCATTTGATCCAATTCCCATTTTAGGGAAGAAACAAACATTTTCTAATGTACACAATGCCTGTAAATCCTGGGTTGAGAAGTTTGGACCTCAACTTTTAGAAGGAGCTATCCCAGAGGAATTTAAAGTAGAAGGATAAATCACTATCAGTTATGTCTATCCAGGGATGGATGGACCAAGCGCACCCAATCGTCCAACCTTTTATGAAATTATGACAGGTGATTTGGATGTTTGGAATTCTGATTTAGAGTCCGAAGATGAGATTGGTGATGGCTGGTCCACTTTCATAAGCAAGAAATAGAAATATCGAATGTAATGTCAAACAAAACAAGTAAAATATTACCTTCTTCACCTCTTGTAGGAATAGAGTTGGAGGAATTGGGTATAAAAATTCAACCCATTAAAGAGAAAACATTAGAAGAAGATCAGGGGGCATGAACCCTTGTGAAAAAAAGTCGTCGAAAGGCTCCACAACTTCCAAGTTCTAGTGTTTATGATAAGAAATCAGGACTAAGAAAGAAGGCCTAAAGCCAAGTCAAGAGTATCTACTAAATCAACGGGGGTAGAAGCAGCTTCATGCGTTCTTCCTAGACTTCCAACCCTGGATGATTATTTTCCCAATGGTTTCTTTGATAAGGAATATCTTACCTCCAATGTTATCAATGTGGAGGAGAGAAATGAAACTAAAAATGTATCAAGGCAGACTTTTAAACATAAGAAAACTATTTCATGAAACAATAATATTCCTGTCAATAGGAGTTTAGTAGAGCCTACTAGTCTTCCTTTTGATGATCAAATGACTTTGATCGCAGCATTGATCGATTTGAAAGAATATGAAGGCAAAGTCTTAGAACATATTGAATCCACAACTCAACAAGATTGTATGGCCTCCATAATATTTGACGATAAAGATTTACAGCCAAGTTGTTGTATGTCAGCGGTTATGTTCAAGAATGTAGGATAAATCGGATAATGATCGATTATGAATCTGCTGTGAACATTATGTCAGTTAACACAATGAAGAAAATTGGAATTAATGTGAGTGATCTATCCAGGAGCAAAATCATTATTCAAGGACTTAACCAGAAGAGTCAGCGAGCCATTGACATGATTCGTCTGAAGCTACAAATATGAGAGTTGATTTCCTCCGCTCTCTTCCATATCATTGATGCTAAAACATCTTACAAGTTACTCATTAGAAGTGTTTGACTACATGAAATAGGAGTAGTACCTTCAACTTAGCACCAATGCTTCAAATATAACTGAGATGGAAAAGTTCAATGTGTGGTAGCTGAGTCTAAACCATTCCTTGAAAAAGAATCACATTTCGATGATGCCAAATTTTACATGGAAGATGAAGAGTGTAATTCTACAGGGTTGACCATGTTTGGATTCAAAATCAAAGAAGATGTAGATGATCAGATGTGTCTAGTGTTGCTAAATCTCATTAACTTATCAAAGACAAGTCAAACTTTACATCCGAAGACTTCTCTAAAGGCAAAAAATCTCAAATAGAATCAACTGATGTTGAGATATTGAGAAAAGAGTTAACGCTTTCAATACTTAGTATTCTAAAATTGATTTTGTCCCATCAACTTATGACGGTCTCGGAAGAATGTAAATCTGTATCGAAAGTTTCAACATCCATTCCAAACATATCAAAGCTATGTATTTTCAGCTCGTCCAAATGAGAAGTGTTGAGTACTGAAGGAGCTTCTGAATCAAAACAGACTTTCAAAGGATGTTATAATCCTCAAGTTAAAAAGTTGTTTGAAAATGCCGGGTTTGAAAAAGAAAAGCCCCAAAAATTAGGTGATCTTAATGCTGTCATTTCAAGTGAGCGTGTCATTTCTAATTCTGACGGAGCCCTGGTGTCTCAACCCATGTTTGGTTTAGGATATGATCCCAATCCATCGAAAAAGATTAAGGTCAAGAAGGTTTCCTCAAACCCTATCATGATTTAAATTTATGAAGTTGTAGAGGAGAAGTCAGAACAACCAAGACCTTTATTCGATCGAAATGAAAATGAGAATGCCAGAGTTTTGATGTTTAAAAGGTTAAAAAGAGAACCCTCCCCATTGGTCGACATAAGAGGTAAAGCCTATGTCTTCCAAAGGTTAAGTGAAGATCATTCTTCTTCTACCCAAATTGATAGAAATGCACAAGCTTTCCAAATTTTATCCCAAAGACAATATGCATTTTCTCAACTTGGAAATAAAACTGTTGATCCAAGTCCGAAACCTCAACAATCAAGAAGAAGATGAAGACATCAAAAATGTCGTCCAT